TATGTAGGATGAGGATTGAGGATATATGCTCCCATGCAATGTGGGGGGAGAATTTTTTACCAGTTTCTGTCGGCTGGTACTCATTACACAATTTACAAGTTCCTCAAAATCTATTAATAGCAGGTAAATAGGTAAAATATTGAGTTTTATAACTGAAAACAAGAAAAAGTGAGTTTCAGATATGTAACATGACTCGAGTTTTCCTAAAATGCATCCACCATTAACCAAACATCAATTCCTCAGATGTGTACACTTATACAATGTATTTTCATCGAGTTTGTATATATTATTCATTTTTAATAGAATAGTGCTGAAGGTTGCCATTTTATCAAATGGTTTACAGTCACCAGGACAGCAAAAAATATGAGTTCTACTCAGTGGGCTCCAACAAAAGTTACTGAAAGATTTTTTATCTACTATTGACTGTCACGACAAAATGTACATGTAGTTTTAAAAGAAATGAAAAAATTCTTCAACGTTTTATGAATATGGGGTGCAAATCGAAATCATTACAACTCTGGAATTTACATGTATACGTTATTTCAACTATTTTACAAAGTGATTTTGAAGAAGCCCTTGTGACTTGCAACTTCCCAGGACACTTCCTTGAACAGCACATTTTGTGTTTGGCCAAAGCCCAAATACATCTATCAAAATTGATAAACAACACATTAGGCTCTTTACATCTGAAAATAAATCATGCACTCAGTTTACAGTGCTGCTCGGAATGCTACGCCAGCTATGATTCTGAGATAACATTAACTGTCATCTAGTAGACCTCCAAAGACCTTTAGAGTGCAGTTATAGTGGCATTTATATACATAAACCCAATTACAAACCAATAAAATGGGTCTTACATGAATCTCAATTAGTTTAAGGTTACTTTTTTACTACACACAAGAAGCATAGCTGTCATACAGATGCTAAAAGCCTCCAGCCACAAATCAATGTACATTTAGCCAGCATCATGCACAGTCTGAGGTGTTGACCTCATGTATTGTTCAAGCGAATTCCATGTAAATCTAATGAGTGCATAAAGGAATGACATCACTGTAAAGAAGCCCATGGCAATGCCCTGCAAGGGCTATGAAAATGTGAGTTTCTCTTTAATCAAAATATTAGGTAGCGGACATTCTTTTTTAAGGACCAACTCCAATGGGTTTAAAAATTTCAAATATAAAGTACATGTATTATTGTGTTTAGAGTGTAATAAATCATATATTCATTACCAAATCATGTCCATATTGCATCTGTATTTTTTGTAATTTTGCCAAAACTTTTGACAGTGTCTTTAAGTTTTATGAAATATTTCCACAATCTGAACATTGGTGGCGCTGTTGAGAAACAAAATTTGTATGATGTAACAGTGGAGAAAACATTAAAACTGGTATCTGTGGCACGACTGGTTCCACTATGAACATACATGTACATGAACATGGAGCTACCAGTGTGTGCACTGCATACCGGGGATTGATCTGTGTGCCGGGTCTACAGTGCCACATTGTCTGTGTTTTCCATTGAGAGGTTGTGCTCCTCTCTGCATGATTTACAATAATGCCAAAATTGTGACTCATTGGTGGATGCAATAGAAATTCTACCAAAGAACTGGGATTGATATTCTTTGAGTTTCTGAAGAATGAGAGCATTCTTCAAGTTTGTGCTGTCGTCTGCGGCTAGGGTGTGTGTGCTATGCATGCCTACAGCGTGCACTGTGGTATTTTCTCTCCATGGCAATACATCACAGAAAATATTCATTAGATGCTAATAAGTCACAACAACACGTCCATTTTTACAGTACCGGATTGGACTCGCAGGGTACAAAACTGTGTTTTATTAACACAAATACGTGTATTGCAAGGGAGATATTGATATGTGCCACTTTTATTAGACTTGGCTCTTCTGAATAGGATTCAATATGAGAAAAATTTGCATCGTTGGAGTTGGTCTTTAATCAGGACAAACTGCAATATTCCATTAGATATTTCATGAACAAGAGGTTTATCTTTGAATGACCTGAAGAGTTCACTAAATGCTCCTCTAAAATCATAAATAAATGAATGAATATAAACAATCATGTCAAGTTGAAGAAGCCTTTTCAAAACTACAACTCATAAATTGATTAAAGGCCAATTTAACAGCCAACCAACCTGGTATATGTCTTTGAGACCACAGTCATGGGTGATTAAGCACATTGATATGACTGCAACTGCACAAATGTTGATCACAGACTACTTTGTTGCATTAGAACTCAGATTTGCATATTGTTAAAAAACATCTTTACAGTCTATCCCGAGATATTTAGGCCTACATTTACATCTGCACTGAGTAGAGTCACCACTTAAGAATTGGAAGAAACAATGATAATTCAGTAGTTATAGAGGCTACTAGTTTTCAGGATACACTGATGAAGGCCTTTCAAAGAAATGTCACATCATTGCATTCAGCCACAGCGGATACTGATACTTGGTTTGCTTAGTGCATTATTCTTATGCCATAATGTAGTAGTAGTTATATGCCACTATGATGACATACATATATTAAGGGTGGGATGTTTACACGTTTAACCGTTTAAACAAAAAAGGTTCAAACTCCGTTTGCAGATCTTCCCAAATGGTTAACCCCTTCGCACTGGGACGCAGATAGAGCCGCCGTAAAAATTGAGATCCTCAGGCCGCTTTTCAGCTATTATTCTCGGCCCACACTCGCGCGAACACGGTGAAAGAAGGCACACCCTGGCTCTTGTATAGATGGTGATTGGTCTTTGTGCATAGCCCAGAAATGANTAATTCAAAGTGTGCAGAGCACGCAGGGCCACAAACTGAGAATCTGCGGTTTGGAAGGTGGCCTTTGTGGCCAAGCGAGGCTGGAATTCTTGGAGTCGGCTTTTAGGAAGAAATTCCTGTCATCAAGGGGTTAACAGTACTGCCAATTTTAGAGGTTTGAGGTTTTGATTGATGCAATCTGGCATTCATTTGTATTTGTAAAAATGCCTGTTACATACTGGGTTTTTTCCCTTGCTGCATCCATGTACTTTCTGAGGGTTGGGGGGCGGGGCAAAATGAAAATTGTTCTAAAAATGACAATCCCAATTTTGTATCAGTAAAGGAAACTGCATCAATTTCCCTTTCCCTAAGAATGTAGTAGTACAGGTACCATTTCTAAAATGCAGATGCTTTCAATTGAAAAAAACAACAAATGAAACAAAACAAAAAACCAATATAGGCAACATGTCTCCCCCGGATAAACCCTTGTTCTAGGGTCCGGGTTAGATTTCAGTGTCTGGTGATCTCACAGCCAGTTGGCACTAGATGATCCATAGGTTACACTCTTCAGTTTGCCTGGGGTACATGGAGGTAGTGTAGACAGGGGCGATGTCACCTATGAAAAGACAAATGTTTAATTATTGAGCTTCTTACTATGATCAATGTTGCCTGTGGTCACAATCTGACTTCACAAATGAGAACAGACTAATGGTGTTTCCCTAACCTTTTTAAAACAAACTTCCTGCCTTCCTAAATTTAGTAGCCAGGTCCGTTTTCCTCCCAGTACTGCTTTCTTGAAATCAAAACAAATTCAAACTAATGTATTCCTGATGCAACAATTACATCTTATGGAACTAATTTGAGCAACTGTTTATTTTGTTATAAATACATACGCCTGCAGTTAAGTAGAAAACATTGAAAAAGACAACTCTCATTTATCAAAACTTGCACAAGTTCCAACTATTTTGTTTCAATGGCAGAGAAGGATACTCACATGCAAAAAAGGATGCCAATGAAATAAACAGCATTTAACAAATCACAAAATATGTAGAATGAGTTTTAATTACAGTATACAGAGTACTAAAGTGTGAAGCCATTTTAAACCAAGAAGTGTAGTGCAAATGAATGGAACTTTCAGTCATCCTTGGCCTAGTTCATTGGTAGATATACTGATACCTTAGCATTTAGGCTTGATGTGCTAGCCAGCCTAGCACCTGTAAGGTCCATATGCTCAGCTGGATGAGCCAGATCTACTTTGGTCACCATGGGACTCATGTTTAAAGTTGTAGTAGATGCAGCTCGTTGCAAGGTCCTACGTGGTGTTTTGTTGAAGGAGAACGTTCGACCAACTTTGCGTGTAGCTCGTCTAGCTCTCCTACCATCACACAAACAAGACTCATAATTATAGTGCAGAACTAGCACTTGAGTGACAATATAAGCATAATGATTATTTCCATTTTGAAATGGAAACTCAAGGAAACCAGCTGGTTCTTGTGTAAGTAGGTCTTTGTTTTGCAGCCACTGTGTGTAGTGTGAAAAAAGTGTTAAGCAAGAAACAACAGATGGCAATTCAAAAGATGTAGATGAAGCTTGCTCTCACAAAAGAGAATAATTGGTTTGTGACATTAATGTTATTTTTTAGAGGAGGAGCTTGTAGGAATAGGCATAGTGGCAAAGGACCTAGCCTTGAACAGCATGTGACAATAGTAGTGTAAAAAATGAACAGAAGTTTCAACCACTATTAAAAGAGTTGACAAGAGATGAAACAAATGGAACGTTATTTGTGTGTGAATTTACCTCATAGCTTTAGTCAGCTTCCCCTTGTCAAAGTCACTCTTGGTGATTTCCAATTCTTCAGGGGTTATTTTTGTCAGGAAATTTTCCTGAAAAGGGGAAAAAGAGCATAAAATTAAAAATGCAATATCTTAAACTGTATTTATACCTCTCCAAAGGCCACATCCTCCTCTGCACAAAGAAAGATAATCTTTGGGTTCGTAGTCTAAATCTGCTGCAATGTTTAAAGTACTATTTTGATTAAAACTGGAACATCTTGTTTTTCAAGTTTTCCCTTCAGTTTTTGATTGCAAGACTCGAACACATTTCGTGTCCCAGAATATTTCGTCCCCACAGCAGTGTGGAAAGAGTCTGCTGACAAATACCTACCCAAACAGTCACTGAACATGCAAATTCCTTTGCATCTGATTCTATTCGCTAAAAACTTGATCAACTGTAGTGTGCCCTCTTGGCCCATGATGCATAGCAGCACCACTGCAATGTTTGTCCTTTTTTGGCGAGTGAGGCCCGAGCCAATGTGGGAGGATGGAAGGGCTTTGACTGTTTGGGAGGTATTCGTTAAAAGACTCTTCCCACTGGGGGAGGAGTCCACTGCACTCAACCGACCCAAACAATCACTAAATATGCAGAGTAGCACCATACCCCGGAGGAAGGTACATGAAGGTACTGAAAGTGTGTGTGACTGTGTGGAACAATAAGGGGGCAACCAGAGAAAAGAGGAGACCATTGGATATGGTGTAGAGCTGGAGGTAGCTCACAAAGTACAGTCCACGTATTGTCAGTGAAGCGGTGTGTATGGAAATGCTGGGAAAGAACTCCTTGTGAAGCTTTAAGTTAGCAAGAGGTACGAGGCCATGCAGTTTCTGGCATTTGTCATGCAGATAACTTCCAAAGGACACTGCAACAGGATGTTGGCAAAGTATGCCCCCCTAGCGACATGCATCATGATAGGGTGGCTGAGATTGAAGTCTGTGAAGGTTAGCCATTCAGGATAGGTGAACCAAATAGCTGAGGAAACCTGACTAGCTGGAGGTGAAGTGCACCAGGGTAATGGCACAAGGAGAATCAAAGTACCTCTCAGCTTTGAGTACTGAACAGAAATCATTGCGAGGATTAGGGATAGGACAGTAAGGCTTGTAATTAGGACAGCAGGAGTACTGTATGACATTAAAGATGAAGTTGTCTTATCAGAGAGGTGAGAATGAATAGGGTCTGAGCAGTTGTCTATGGTGTGGATGAGGA